TCACGTTTGTAACACCTAAATATGTGCTAATTTCGCATAGAAAGTTCTCCCGGGAGGCATCGCTTTTGGTAGATAGCTCAGATGTCGCATTGCCATATACAAATAAACCAAAATGGAAGTTTAGGGGTGAGAATAGACGTACGCTACACCCGCCGATCCGATTGATAATGCTGTAAGTGATGTACTGTAAAATAATAATTATATTTATAAACTAACAACAGTTTCTTCTTTTTGTGGGAGTTGTAATTAATCTAAAAAAACCAGTACAAGGATAGGGACGATGTAGAGTTATGTACAGAGAAATGTTGGGAGTTAGTCACGTGTATAGATGAGTCAAGAGTAAGTAATTCATCGTCTGTATTTTCTAGACAACGGGATAGGACCATTACTAAAATAGACGGGGTTTATATGTCATTGTCACTTTGTCTTGCCAAGCATTTAACGCCTCGTGTCCTTTGCCAACACTTCCTTAAACAAAAATGAATTAGGAAGTTTGCAAACAAACTCTATCTGTAACAATAATACGGGATCGAATTAAGAGTGAAAAAATGCGTGACGAATCGTTGTAACATACTCCTACGAAAGAAGATAACGGCGAGAAGTATCGTGTGTACTTATGTAACGCACACACTAAGTTACGCTGTAATTTCGAAGCAGGTGTTACGCTCTTATAAAAAACAGCTGTGAAAATTTTGAAGTTTATGGAGTTTCGAGTGCGTTACATAAGATTATGTGTCATCTATATGTTAATTTATGGAGTTACGAGTGAGTTACGCAAGCGTACAAAGCTTACAGACGATTGCGTTACATAAACTATTCGCATTTCAAGTGTTCGTAAGGTCCTGTTACGTCTCAGATAACTCAATCCTCTAATGATTAATTAACGGGTCATCTGTACAGTCAAGACAGTTACACAGATGTTCCTAATTAGAGATGATAATTTTCGAGGGTAAATTGATAAAATTTGAAGAGTAGATAAGACAAATAACTCTTTGAAAGTCGATAGAAGTGAAATTTTAACCTACGAATGTTTACACAGCGAAGGTGAAAGGTTATTAACCATGTTTATTCTATGAGAGGATCGTCATTGGTAGTGTTAGAAGATCCGATCGTCTTCGTTAGTGTGCGGATGACCAAACTGCAGCCACGTGTAGATATTTCTATTTTTGAGTATTCTTTAACACCGTACAAATGTTTATCCTAAAGGTCAAAGTACCATCCTCCACTCGATTTATGTCTCCAAAGGATAATGACGTAAATACCTCAGGATATCCCCCACCCTCTTTTTTTTTTAATGCATTTTTCCTGTAATTCTTGTATAAAATCTCTTCTTAATTTTAAGAAATTACATTTTTATTAATTAATGTAAGTATAATTTATCTGCGGGGTGGCTCAAAAGTCACTTAACATCGTTTTTGTTTGTGTGTGTGTGTGTGAATTCCAGGTAAATACTTGAATATGGATCAAAAAATGACTTCAGTTTTGTTACAATTTCTATTGTTGCTTACAAATAAGACGGGAATGGTTAAGTGACTTTTGGGCCACCCTTTATATTCTTCTTCTTTTTTTAATGTCTGGAGAATTTTGAGGGGGAAAAAATAAATGAAAGGAAGCAAATTCTAGAAGAATTGTAAGTAAAAAGACAAAAAAAATTTATAGAAATTTTAAGTTAAAAAACAAATTTTACACCAGTTTTACACATAAAAAAATTCCTCAAAATCCCGATAATTTTATCGAAAGAAAACAGAAAATTATAGGAAAAAGAATCAGCACGTGTCCTAAATATTCTAAACATATTTAGAATATGAAAACATTAAGAAAATTCCAACAAAATTAATTTAAAAAAAATAAAAAAAAAACATTAAAAATACCGAAAGTTTATTTATAAAATTTAATGAAAAATGCTAGAAAAATCTCGAGAATTCATTTAAAATNCATTTTTATATATATTTTTTAAACCCTTTATAATTTTGATTATTTAATTGCTCCTTCCTCTTTTCCTTGGCATGTTGTGAAATTTCTGATAATTGGATAATAAACCGTTTTATTGTAATTTGTCTTTTTAAATTATTTTGAGTCGATATTAAAATTTGGGAATGTAGATGTTAATTCTTAACATGTGTAACATTATACATTACATTGTTATTACATTTTAACATTATATATTACTGATTACTTTTCTGAGTACTGGTTTAATCTTTAGCTTTTTATCTGATTTTCAGTAGTTTATGAAACTTGCTTTCCATCTGAAATGATCTTCTCCATTTGAATTCAGCAATATATATTATGCCTTTTTTTGTACTTTTATATCAGGTTTATGCTGTTTCCATCTACTTGTGTGAGGATCACCACCCCCTCCAAAAATATATATATATATTTGTAAACTTATTTGTAATAATTTTTGTTTATTTACTTATTTTTTTTTATGTATTTGTGTAAACCTTAACCAAAGTGGTAAGAGGAAATTCACCTATTTTACCAATCTAGGGACTCCCCTTTTCCAAATTTAAAATCTACTTAAATTAATTAGAGTAAAACAGTTTATTAATTAACCACCAGAAATCTCACAACATGCCAAAGAAAAGAGGAAAAAGCAACCAAATAATCAAAAATTATATAGAAATGAGGAACATTGCATCCCCCTTTGTTTTCGGCAATGTTTACATGAAGAACTTAGTCAAAGCAAGCAATGAACAACCAATGACTAAGAACAAAGATGAGTCATGTCGACTCAGAAGATGACTCTAAGAAAGCTGCAAGTCATCCCCAAATAAGAAAACACTGTCTCAGCTACAATGATGACACTGCCAATGAGTCATCACCCGATGATGACTTTCTCATGCTGAAAGGGTTTAAAAGGAAAGCCCCAACAAGAGAAAAGAGAGTTCAGTTAGAGATGGGGACTAGGGATTACAATTGCTGGATCCAGCGCATTTTTCGGCCTGCTGGATCCAGCGCATTTTTCGGCCTGCTGGATCCGCAAATACGCAATTAACTTTCTAAATAATGGTGCAAAAGTCTACGTTGTCAGCGTTGCCGCTTTGCTAAGTGCGCTATCGCTCGGCGGCGAGAGCGACATTGCCATTCAGTGCAGCACGTGCTACACTCCCTCTCTACACCGCACCACCTGTCCTTTTACCTCTGCTGATCTAATTGACAGTTGACTTTTCGCTCTCGCTAAATAAAGTGTCTTCGCGCTAAATAAAATAAGTAACATCCTCTCCTAGTCCTGGTGCATAATTCTAATTTACGGTCGGTTGTGACGTCAATGAATCACGTGACGGATCGCCGCTTCAGCTGCGAGACACCGGCACTTTTTCGACTTTTTTTCCTGAATAAACTCGGTGCGCAATAAAAACGTTATTTATTTCATTTTTCGCAGCTCGAAGAAATTAGAGAATTTGAATTTTTTAAAATTTTTTGAAAAATTTCGGAAAAATTGCGACTAAAAAAATGCCAGGGGGCGTCTGTGACACGCTACATGATCTTAAATGAAAATTGAATTATTTACCACAAAAATGGCTCTAACGATTTGGATCAAACTTGGTTAGTTTAGTGAATCGCGTAAATACATATATAGTGGAACCAGCAGCAATGGCAGAGGAGATTATGGAGGTGGAAAGCGATGATCCAGATAACCCGTATTCCCTGAATTTCACCTTGGAACAAGAATTGGAGATCCAACTAAAGCGTGAGAAAGAAAACTTCATGAAACGGAAAGAAACTAGTACTGAGAAGGATTATGATAAGTTATTAAAAAAGGAAATGGCTGTTTATGAAAATGAGGGAGTCAGAGGTGAAAACTTATCTTTGATTTATAATTATTTGATGACCCTGAAACCAACTAGCGTAGAGGCTGAAAGGGCCTTCTCTGCAGCGGGATATATATGCAGTGCATTAAGAAGTAGGTTGGGAGACAACACCATTAATACTATTTGTTTTTTGAGATCCTACTTCCAGAAAAGTCAAAAAAATAACATGATAACATGTTAAATGACAAAGAAATATTTGATAACAAAAACATATTTGATGATAAAAAAAAAATATGAAATAAAAAAATAACACGAAAAAATAAGTGATTGATTTAATTTTATTTAATCCTTTAAAATACTTTATTCAAGACAAGACTGATATTTTATAACTTCTTCTCTAATTCTATTAAGTAAGAGTATTTAACTTTTATTCTATAAGTGGTTAAATTACTTATAAATAACTACAGACTGATATGTAGAGCCTATATAAGAAAACTAGTAAGACTGATAGCCACTTAGCCACTGATTATCCATCCTTACATTATTATAATATAATATATTAAAGTAAATTAATTAGTAGAATTACCTTTGCTATTATTTAACTTATTACATTATAATTATAATTTAACTAAACATTTATAGTTAATTATCTCTATCTCAAGTGTTAAACCGAACCAAAGTTAAGTTTACTACCTAAATGTGTAAGACGTTTTACTGATTTAAAGTGAACAGTCTAAATAATAAAAGGTTTTTAAGTATTTAAAAAAAAAAGGTTTTATTTCTTTAAAAAAACCATAAAATGCTAAATAGATAGATAGATAACACTTTATTGCACCAAAAATACATCTGTGCTGGATCCAGCTGGATTGATGTTGGTCCAGCAAAAATCCAGCTGGATTGAAAACACTGCTGGATTGCAATCCCTAATGGGGACATAGTGAGTTAGAAAAAGTGTGGTCAGAGAGGAGATACAGTGCAGTTAGAGAAAGTGGAGTCAGAGAGGAGGACACAGTCCAGTTAGAAAGGGACAGTGAGACAGTTNGCACAGTTGTGAAGAAGTAAATTAATGATAATAATAGCAACAACAACAAAATATGAAAGGAAGAAAAAATTTGACAGATGATAATTTTATGTTACATATTAGTGTTATAGCCACTTCCTTTTAAATTATAACCATAATGTAACTATAGAAAAATAAAAAAAATATCAATAGTTTAAAAAGATAAAATAATTTCATGGAAAAAGTACCTGATATTTCCACATCCAATTTATCCATAAATGAAACACTAAAAATTTTATGAATCAGTTCTTGTTTCAAATGTTGAAATAAAGCTAAAGCTGTAGCAGACTGTAATATCAAAAGACCATTTTCTCCATTTTCACTACAAAAAATATAAATGACTTTCAATTGAAAATTAAAAAAAAAAAA